ATCCCGAACGCTGCCGGCCTGGCACGACATGGTGGTTACCTTCTTGACAAAGACCATATCATACGGTGGCAAACCCGGTGCTGATATGGATATCGATGAGGGATCATCCTTTACCAACTTCCCAGGACAGTGTATCCGAGCCTTTCCTGTTGCTGTCGATTATTGCAAGCGGATTCTCTTCCTCACTGCATTACAAGACTTCACCATTGAACCGGGCTGGGAACGTCAGTTGAGCGCAACCGTACACTCTGATCTCAAGACCCGGCGTGCGATCCGTGATTACCTGGCCTCCAGCGAGCACAGTGAAGCCATCTTCTGCCTCCTCCGTTCGGCCTTTGACGGCATGCTCTTAGAGGACACCGAGATTGCAGGGTGGTGTGCACGTTCTTTCGTAGAACTTGCTTCCTTCACTCCGAGCAAGATCCTCGCACCATTGGTTCCTCGTGCTGTGGAATTGATGTCGCTCATTACTTCCAACAAGCGGGAGATCCGCCCACTTGCATGCTCGGCATTTGGCATCCTCGCCGCGCATCCGGCTAACAGCTCGGAATCTATCAACATGTTCAAGGGTACCTTGGCTGACATAACCAAGAACCTCAAGACAGCCGTTGGGTCGGAGCTCAATGCGGTCGAAGGAGCGTTCAACGCACTTGCACATCTCATCTCCAGATCGGTGTACTACTCTACAGACAAGGACAACAACGTCAGCAGTAATCTTGGCAACGTGTTTCCCACGCTTGATTCGGTATCCTCCAGCACGCTTTCAACCCAGGAGGCTATGATCGAGGCCTATAGCCAGCTCTGGACGGCGGGTATCTGCGTACTTCCTGGGGCGGACAAGGATACGATTTCCAAGGCCTTCGTGGATCCACTGGTTCTCCTTGCCAAAAAGGGCAATGAAAAGGCTATCACCGCTCTTGGGCGACTCGCAATGCCTTTACCTTCTGCGGAAACATCATCTAGTGAAGAGAGCAGCGATCTTGTTGCCCTCATACTTGAGAAGCTATTTGCTCTCTACGAGCTCAGACAGGCAGAGGTCCATTTCACGGTTGGCGAAGCCATTACCGCCGCCATTGCCTGCTGGGATTCTGAGGTCGTCCAGCTTACGCTGGACGTTGAGGCCAGAGGCGATTCATACCACATTCCCAAGCGATCTAATCGGATTACCGCGGTGTTGGAGAAGCTGCTCGCCGACTGCAAGAATACCAAGCCATCTCTGCTCAAGGCCTCCGGTATCTGGCTCTTTTGCATCATCCAGTACTGTGCTCACCTTGAAGAGGTTCAGTCCAGGCTACGCGAATGCCAGGTAGCATTCATGCGCTTGCTCAGTGCTCGCGATGAACTGGTCCAGGAGACTGCATCCAGAGGTCTCTCGCTCGTATACGAGAAGGGAGATTCGGCGCTGAAAGGTGACCTTGTACGCGATCTTGTGTCATCATTCACGGGATCAGGTCCGCAGCTCAAAGTGGATGAAGAAACAGAACTCTTCGAGGCCGGTGCGCTCCCGACTGGCGACGGCAAGTCCGTTACCTCGTACAAAGACATCGTTAGCCTTGCGAATGAGGTGGGCGATCAAAGTCTTGTCTACAAGTTCATGTCATTGGCAACGAACGCTGCCACTTGGTCCACCCGATCTGCCTTTGGTCGTTTCGGACTGAGCAACATTCTTTCCGAGTCAGAGGTCGACCCAAAACTGTACCCGAAGCTGTATCGGTACCGGTTTGACCCCAACCCGAACGTGCAAAAGTCCATGAATGATATTTGGAAGGCTCTAGTCAAGGATTCCAATGCCGTTATTGAGGCGAACTTCGATGCTATTATGAAGGACTTGCTCAAGTGTATCCTTGGCAAGGAATGGAGAGTTCGCGAGGCGAGCTGTGCTGCCATCTCCGACCTGGTCGCCGGACGGCCTTTTCAAAAGTACGAGCAGTACTACAAGGACATTTGGATGGCGGCCTTGAAGGTCCTCGATGATGTTAAGGGTACTGTGAGAAATGCTGCCTTACACCTTTGTATTGCTCTTTCAACAACACTGGTCCGCCAGTTGGAAGAGTCAGGCAACACTGCGTCTGCCAGAGCCATGATGAGCGAGGCCTTGCCATTCTTACTTTCGGACAAAGGAATCGAGAGTGGAGTGAAGGAAGTCAAGTACTTTGCTACCCACACAGTCATCAAGATCTGCAAGAAGGGTGGGAAGGCACTCAACCCTTACATCGCCACCATAGTCTCAAATCTCCTCGGAAGCCTTAGTACGCTTGAGGCTGATATTGTCAACTACTACTACCAACGAGCTGGAGAAGACGACAGAGATAAGATCGATAAATTTCGGAGCTCAGCGGTCTCTCAGAGCCCGGTCACTGAGGCAATCGAGAGCAGTCTCAGGACAGTTGACGCCGACGTCATGGTGGAACTAGCGCCGGCCCTCGAAGAGGCCATCAAAACAGCCATTGGTATGCCTACAAAGATCGGCTGCAGTCGCGTTCTATCTACTCTGGCAACTCGGCATACCGTAGACTTCAAGCCGTACTCAGCCCGTTTCCTGCAACTCATGGAGAAGCAGGTGCTGGATCGAAACGACGAGGTCAGCCAGGGTTATGCGCGTGCTGCAGCGTACATTATCCGCGGCTGTCCAGACGAGGCAAAGCTACGCTTCTCGGATAGGCTTTTGGAGCTCTACCTTGAGTCGGAGGACGAGGCTAGGCGTCAGAAGGTTGCAGATGCCGTCCTGGCCCTTTCGAAAATTTCGCCCGACCATTTCAATGCGCTCGAGGGCAAGCTTTTGCCTTTTGCGTACCTCGGAAAGCACGACACCGACGACTATGTCCGGAAAGAATTTGATGAAGTCTGGGCCAAGCACGCGGGAAGCAGCCTTAGCGTTGCTAGATACGTGTCCGAGATCGTCGAGCTTGTTCAACAGTCATTGAATACGGCACAATGGGCACTAAAGCATGCTGGCGCCCTGGCTATTGCGTCTGCTGTCGCAGGCATCACCAAGGCCAGCGATGTCACTGGACAAGTCAACGTTGAGAACCTCAAGACCTTGTGGCCCGTCTATGAGAAGGCATTGGCCCTCAAGACGTTCCCAGGAAAAGAAAAGCTCCTCAAGCCGTTTCCTGACTTTGTCAGTAAAAGCAAGGTGATCTGGCAGAAAGACGCCTCTTTCGGGGAACAACTGAAGAAAATCGCCGTTCGCGAGGCCAAGAGAAACAACAACGAATACCGGCCTCATGCGTTCCGCTGCCTGTGGATGTTCGCAGCTGCAAGAGACGACTTGACAATGCTGCCGACCATCTCGGAGATTGTGACGCCCTATTTGGACATGACCGCGGACGAGGACGCCATGGATGTCGACGATAAGGCGAGTACCAACAACAAGGCGAGAGGTCTGGATCCGAAGAGTCAGACGGCGTGGGCGGCTATGGAAGCTGTGGCGAAGGGGTACAATCGTGCAAAAATGCAGGAGGATGCGATGGGACAGTTGAAGGAGATTGCGCTTGCGCTGGAGGAAAACGCAAAGAAGCCGGATTTCAAGAAGCCGTACATCGGCCAGGCTCCGTTCGATGCCATCAGGAGGGTGTTTTGGTATGAATGCGTCTTGGAGTTGCTTGAGGCAGCTACCAAGGGTGGAGAAGATGGAGCTGGATCTCCAGATTCCCAGGTTCTTGAATGGTATTTGGCGACCTTGGATCTTGACAAGGCTGATACTGGAACGGAAGACCAGAGGCTGCTGAGGGCCAAGGCTACCATGGCGGCTGTGGCGATGGGGAAGCTCCCCAAACATGCGAGTGGTGATGCCTTGTCGGGAGTCAAGGAAAAGGTTGTGAAGGCGTTAACTGAGGAGCGTTCGTCGGAGGTGCAGCTGAAGTGGAAGGCGTGTTTGGTTCTGCTTGATTAGGACTTTGTGTGACAACGCCCTAGTGTCAAATTCATAGGAATACTGGAAGGGACTGCCGGTATACGGCAGACATCATGATGGGAACATAGATAGGCTCGAAAGTTCAACATTACCACCCTCTCTACATCTTCGCAAGTCGAACCTTGGTCACTCGCTATCTCTGAATCACAAATTCTAAACACCTGATGCAGGTTGTTGTGGGGGAGGGTTGGTTGTTCAGAATCTCACGCATAACCCTAACCCCCATCCTAGATCCTAGCCTGCTGTGTAGAGGTAGAGGTAGTGCTTGTCTCGTATTACTCGTGTAGAGTTGCCAAGGCCAGGGCCCATGGCGGCAGGCACAGTAGCCGGGGGACAGCAGGGAGAAGCTTCCATACAGGTCCAGCCGCTAGCTTGACTGCCCGTCGAGCGGACTCTTCAGTGCGACAGTGGGACAGCGTCCCTCTTGCGTCACTAGCTTGGGCGCCTTGGGAAATCGATCCAATGCCGAACGATTGATTCAACTTTTGACCTTTCGAAATCAAAGACGGGAAAGGTTTCATTCACTCTTCTACCGCTTGTCTTTTACTGCCGCAGAATATTCCCCCATTATCAATCGGCTACCAGAAATCAGTTCGCCACAATATCTTTTTCTATCAACTACGCCCTCGAATCCGAAAGCATCATCGAGCTCCCGCCGCCAAACGGGCCCGACTAGGATCCCCACCTCTCCGTGGCCTCGAACATCCCTCCTCTCCGCCAGCTTTAAGTCACTGCGCGTGCGCTGTACAACATTAGTCGGTGCAGTCACAGCTTCGCGTTACGATAGCGCATCCTCAAAATTACAAGCAGATCGATAGATTCACCTTCCCGCATCCGACCTCGACTGCCTGCTCTCCAACTCAGTCCTTTCCCCATTTCTTCCCGTTTCGCATCAGCTCCAGCTGCCAGAGACCAACGTCTTGTCCCCTCTTCCTGACAACGCTCAACTCAAGATCCGGCACCGGGCTCTCGCGTACTGCATTTCGTTTATTTAGGAAGCTCCTGTTGACGGGACCCCCTGGCCTTCTCCCAACCCTCTACGACCATCCCTTCGAACGCCACCACTCAACCAACGGTCTTCGCGATGGCTGATTCAGAATCTATCGCGAACTTTGCGAGCATCACCGGGGCCAACGACACAGCTGCCAGGCGCATGCTGGAGCTGTGCGGCGGTGATCTGGAGCAAGCCATCCAGCTCTGGTTTGCCGACGAAGAGCTTCAACGTACCCTTTCCAACCCCGCGACAGAGACAGCTCCCGCTGCCGCTTCTCGATCTGCTGGCGCCTCTCGCTCGTCAAGCCGGCCCAGCCGCCCTAATGTCGGCCGTGAGGACGCTGCCGGTGTTATTCACATCGACTCTGACGACGATGATATCCAAATGACGGAAGATGATGACCTAGGACAATTCGACGACTCGGGCGATGAGGCAACGAGGGCGGCCACCATTGCCCAGAGGGCCCAGGAGGAGGAGGATGCCGCCATGGCAAAGAGACTACAAGAAGAGATGTACGGCGGTGGTGGATCCGGAGCTGGAGGTCCAAGCGGTGAGGACGACGTTCGTGCCCCCATGGCCCGAACGACAGAGACTCTCGTTGCCCCAGGAGGCTTCGGCGGAGACGACGAAGAGATGTTTGAGCAGTTTCGGCTGGAACAACAGAGGGTGAGGCAAGCTCGGGGTAAGTTTCCACAAGTTCCAAGGCACTGTTCCATGTTATGCTAACACGCTTTCAGCAGGGCGGCCCCATAACCCGTTCGCACAGCCCACTGTTTGGGATCAGCCTCCCGATCCCATTCCCGGCTCCGCTGCCGGTGGTGTGGTTTCTCCCCCGACAGGAACTGCCTCAACGCGGGCTGGCCGTCTGGCAGAGCTTTTCCGTCCCCCGTACGAGTTGATGGCACATCTTAGCTGGGATGAAGCGCGTGACGAGGGCAAGGAGGAGAAGAAGTGGATCATGGTTAATCTCCAGGATATGGCTGATTTCAACTGCCAGGCCCTCAATCGAGACATTTGGAAGGATGAGCCAATCAAGGAGCTCGTTAAGCACAACTTTGTCTTCTTGCAGTACGACAAGACGGACCGCTCAGCCGAGCAGTACATTTCGTTTTACTTTCCGAACCAGACACACGAAAATCCTCAAAACTATCCCCATGTCTCCATTATCGATCCCCGCACAGGCGAGCAGGTCAAGGTGTGGAGCGGCGTTCCGTTCCCCAAACCGCTGGAGTTTCATGCTCAGCTGGCCGAGTTCCTGGACAGGTACAGCTTGGAGGCTCACGCTAAGAACCCCGTCCTCAAGACAAAGCAGCCCAAGCAGGTGGTGGATGTGGACAGGATGACGGAGGAAGAGATGCTTGAGATGGCACTTCGCAACAGCCTCGAGAACGGAGGCAATGGCAGCTCTTCGGCGCCCAAGGTCCACGACCCTGATGCGCTTACCAGGCCGACAGACTCCACCAAGGGCAAGGAGCGAGCCGATGAAGAGCCCGCTCAGGCGGCTCCTGAGCCTGAACCTGAGACTCCCTCCACCGAGAACTCCGTTTTTGCTCAGATCGCCTCGGACCGACCGCATGTCGAGCCCCCCATCGACCCCGCCACCGTGACGAGACTGCAGGTCCGCAATCCGCCGCAGCGCATCATTCGCCGATTCAGACTTGACGAACCCGTTCGCCGTATCTACGAGTGGCTTAAGGCCGAGCCCCTGCCGGGCAAGGAGGGACTCGAGTTCGAGCTCAAGTCTATGCCTGGAGGCGTCAACCTGCTTGATGTTATTGATCAGACGATCAAGGAGGCCGGTCTGGCTAATGGCACTGTCATGGTTGAGTTCATTGAGGAATAGGATAGCCATGAGCCTGTTGACCAACTCACACAGAAGATGGGTAGGCCCGGGTGGATGGATGACTAGAGATGGCTTTATTTCTAGACGGGTTATTATACCTTTTTACAGCACAAGGAAGGATATATCGTGTTGTTTTTCCGCACAGCGGGGAATTGGCGTCACTGGGAGGACATTTGGAAGGTATACAATTGGGAGGACAAAGCAGACGTCTCACAGCTGAAGAGAACAGAGAGAGGACAGAAGAAGGAAACAAGGCGCATCATGGGTCATAACATTACTTGGCTTTCTGTATCTTGTTGCTTTGATTACCCCTCTTCTAGCGTGGCCATACGTATATCTAGGGTACACGCAAAACTACCACTTCTTCTGTCCAAAAGGCCTCCCCTGTTAGCAGAGGTAGTCCATCACCAGTCATGCAGCATCTGCTGTGGTGGCTGCCCCATGGTGGTGAGGAAGTGGAATGCGCCTGCGTGCACGGTTACCCCACAAAAACCACACGGGTAGGCAAGGTCAAAGCTGCAAGCGTGCGACGCGGTGTCACTGCTGCAGGGCAGGGCACCCCTCTGATAATTGTTAGTGCATGCATGTCGTTGACCCCCGCATGTGAATGTTTTGCACGTTCCTTAACCGACACCTCATGTCCTCGTGTTGCGGCCTACAAGAAGATGGAACTGAAAAGAACACGAGGAAGAAGAGATCGGCCTTGGAATACGCGACCTTGAATTTTGTAGATTTGAACTTATAATGCCCATCGCATGCGAACATCTCAAGCGGCGGTGCTAACAGGCCTGCCCTACGAATGACCCAGAATCCCATATGTTGCTTAGGTATCTTGTACACTACATACATACACTATCTGGCTGCCTTCCCTCTCTCCGTTCCCAAGAGATTTCTGCGCGTTCCTGATCGTCCAGTCGATTGACGAATGGGAGGAATGCTCCGTCTGTGTAATTTGGATGAAGGAAATCGAGCATCTTGGCTTGGTTCCTTCCCCGGTTGTTGATTCGTGAGCTACGTACCGCGCTACAGGTACAGTACTAACCTGCTGGTGAGACACTCGGCGCTGAACACAGTGCGCGTGGGGAGGGATCCATTCTCCCAAACATGGAGCGGGCTGGGATCGCCATTTCTTAGGTAACCTTCGCGGGTCCGTCGTCCCCTGCCTCCATTCAACTTCCAGTGCAGTGTAAACATCGGACACCTCCTTCCAAAGTCCCAATTCCTTCATTCAGATCGACCTGGCTCACAATTTTGCGCCTGCGCCCTCCAACCTCCAGTATTCTTCCCCTCCAGCATCCGACCGACTCCTCGCGTAACTGAAATCCCCAGACTGCTTCGCGACACTCCGAGTCGTCCTTGGAACTGTGGCGGTCATTGGGGCTGGCCTGGTCCCGCCAATTGTTCGAGCTTCCCCTTGCTCAGTCCCCCGTGTCCCGGCTGCACCTACAGACTGGACCAGAACATCATCCTAGTCACCGTTCGCTCCCGCCCTTGATCGCCCTCTCCTGCCTCGTAGCCCTACGACTTGTGCTTCTCGTCGCGCATCTTGCCCACTGCAATAATCCTTTGCGACCTTCGAGCGACATCCCACGACGAGATCCGACCCAATTGGCGCACTGTTGTGTCCCAGGCAAATCAACCAACCCATGCGACCCTCGTTCGCCTGCACCGCCGTCTGAAATAGAACCACCTCGCCCCTCCGCCACGACTCAAGTTACGTACGCCATGGCCGACCGCGAATATGACGAGCACGAGGGATCTGTGGACCCCGAACTCCTATACACCAAGGAATTTTGTATAGGTTGGTTCACCGAGCGTCCAATACGCCCATGGCCCTCGGCGCCATTCAAGCGGCGGTTGCTGACCAGTAGACCGTGATTTGCAGGTGGAGGTAGTTTCGGCAAGGTCTTCAAAGGGTACCGTCCCGATCCCACGTCTCTCCCGCCATGCTCTCGCAGCGCCGCATACTAATCTCTCTACTCAAAATCCAGTGTCGACAAACGGAGTGGCCAGGCAGTAGCTATCAAGGTTATCGATATTGAAAGCGCCGAGGACGAAGTAGAAGACATTATCCAGGAGATCGCCATCCTTTCCGAGCTACAGTCGCCCTACGTCACCAAATACTATGGTTCTTACGCCAAAGGCGCCGAGCTATGGATCGTCATGGAGTTTTGCTCGGGGGGCAGCTGTGCCGATTTGATGAAGCCAGGTCTGATTGGGGAAGACTACATCGCCATCATCGTTCGTGAACTGCTGCTGGGACTGGACTATTTACACCAAGACAAGAAGCTACACCGCGATGTCAAAGGTAAGGGACAGCAAATGCACATGTCCCGTTAAACAGCTTTTGCTAACCGCTAGTAGCTGCCAACATCCTCCTTGCTGCCAATGGCCAGGTCAAGCTAGCTGATTTTGGTGTTTCCGGTCAGCTATCCGCGACCATGACCAAGAAAAACACATTTGTCGGCACCCCATTCTGGATGGCCCCCGAGGTAATCAAGCAAAGCGGCTACGATCACAAGGCTGACATCTGGTCGTTGGGTATCACGGCCCTTGAGCTCGCCAAAGGAGAGCCACCCTATGCCGATATTCATCCCATGAAGGTGCTTTTTCTGATTCCCAAGAACCCGCCCCCACGCCTGGAAGGCAACTTCAGCAAGGGATTCAAGGATTTCATCGAGTTGTGCTTGCAGCGTGACCCCAAGGAAAGGCCAACGGCAAGAGAACTTCTCAAGCATCCCTTCATTCGGCGGGCAAAGAAGACGAGCTATCTGACGGAGCTCATCGAGCGTTACAACCGGTGGGCAGCTACGCACAAGCAAGATGACGAAGAGTACCATGAGCCGGAGGAGAACAACTATGTTGAGCAACGGAAGCATATCAATGAGGACATGTGGGACTTTGGCACAGTGCGGCTGGTTAGTGACCGCGGCGGTGTTGTTCACAGGCCCGGCATGTTGAACCCGATGGACGAGTCGACACTCAATGCGAGATCTTCGAGAGCTAATGAGAGCGCGGATAACCGGGACGACTGGAGGAGAGAATCTAGCCAGGCGACATCCAAACTTGCAGTTGACACCAGTGGGACGGGCACCGCGAGGCAAGCATCACCTGCGAGGAAACCTGTAGGAACGCCGAGCACAGCGATGCCGCCGCCTCCGACCAGAGTCCTTGTGCCTAGTTCGCCTGTCAAGCAGCAGATACAACAACTAGAGCAACAGCAGCATCAATCGAGGGAATCCGCAACGCCCCGCACATCACTAGCCAGGCCGGTAGCACACACACCATTAGGCAGTTCTCCAGATTATGATCGTGTGCTTCAGGAACAGTTACGACGGGATATTGGGGGTATGAACCTCGGACCGGCTATTCAGAACAGCACACAGCCACAATCAGCATTCTCTCCATCACAGTACAGCCAACAACCTACGTCTTCACCGTCAAGAACGGCTGCTGGACCCATGAAGTTGCCCGAGATTCCCCCATACAGAGGAGGACAACAGCAACAGCAACAATCCCTTCAAAAGCTTACCAACCAGCAAACAAGTCAGCAAGCACCAAACACCAGCAAACCTTTCCAGCAGCAGCAACAGCCTCCCCTTTACCATCAACCCTCGCGTGAATCACTTTACCGGCAGCAACAGCAGCAACAACCACAGCAGCAACAGCGTCAGCTAAATCACCAACCATCGCGCGAGCAAGTGTACCAACAACATCAGAGACAGCAGTCACAGCCTACAATGCTCTATCATCAACCTTCGCGCGAGTCATTGTACCAACAGCAGCAGCAACAACAGCATCAACGACGAGATTCACAGTATCAACAGTCCTCTGGACAGTATCAACCTAAGAGGTCAAGCTACCATCAGAGTCAAGGGCTGAGCCCCCTAACATCAAAGGAGATGCCACGCTCGTCGCCATCAGGGAGCCGCATAGTCTCCACCTCATCCAACCATGGCGGAGCCAGTACACCGTCCTCGTCATCAACATCATTGGCGTTTCCTTCGCCCGATCCGCCGAGTCCCAGCGGCGAGTTGGACGCCCTTAACGACGTGATTTTCCCTGCACTAGAGGAGGCGCTCAAACGCCGACAAATCATGCTGCAGCAGACGTACCGGCCGGAACCGGGGTATGCTCCAGCCCCGCCTACTCCGAAGCAGCAGCGTGCTGAGGCAGCCAACGAGAAGATACGCAAGTTGGTGTATAAGCTGGCACATGTGTGCAAGGAGATCGACCACTACGACAAGGCGGAGCCGGTGGGGTTGGGCAAGGATGTTGGTGGGTTTCTGGAGGGACTGTTGGAGGAGATCTTGGTGAGGGTCGAGCCGCTTGATGTTCTGGGGGAGGATGGGCATGGTGGTTAGGGAGATGATGCGCGAGGGTTAGGGGTGAAGCCAGGGGGCAGGCATGTTTCTGGAGGGGAAATAGAACTTAATGTATGACCGTCGACGACGATACTATGATGTGTTATGATCAGCATTGGACTGGGTTAGGGAAAACCGAGGCTTCCATCAAGCCGTGTTACCTACTGTTATTACCTTGAAAGCATCCGTTATGAAGGGTGTTTTTGGATAGAGTACAGGACTAGGATCTGTGAATGGAAACATGGATTACCATCTAGTGACAGAAATACATGTTCGGGGTTTTTGCTCTCCTAGTACGAAGCCTAAATCGGGCCCACGTCTCGTAAGACACTCGACACATGGATGGGTTTGTTCAGGCCTCAGGTCTCAGGCATGTTGTACACTGTCAATCACTCTTGTCTTATCTTTCGGGACCGGACCGGATCTAGTGTTTCTATTTTCCGGTGATCACGCACTGATTCGCGGTGATCACATGAACTGGATACGTACAGTCCAGGCGATGACCAGTTCAGAAGTGAAAACTTATTGCCTAAGCTTACGACTATGCATGATCACGCTCAACAGTGGATGCCTCAACTTGTAAACTGACTGATACAACAAGAGACCCGCCTACGAGCTTGTTCAGGTTGGACGATCTCTGTGTGTCCCGACAATGAAGAAGGATCACTCAAATACCAAGAGCACCTTACTACTACTGGTACTATCCGCCGCGGCCATCCAGTAGTTCCCAAGTAACTCATCTTGTTACATGGGCGGTTTAACGAACTGGCAGAAACATGAACAATGGTCACGCATGCCACCAGCCGATCTTTTTCTTGAGGATGATGTGGTACGAGAAGAAGATGGCTTTGTTTTTGGGCCACTCAATCGACAGCACCAAGATATTCTTGTTTTCCATGAAATAAGAATTTGGAAAAAGAAAAGAAAATGAAATGAAATTCTGACGTGCTGGTAACACGGGACATGATTTGCCATTTAAAGGGTTCGTTCACATCAGCTGTCACAAACGTAGGTACCCTTTGAATTGTCACTCGTCACAGGCCGTGATGAACGTTCACAGCGAGTGGACGGTGTAACATGAAATGAAGAAAGTTTGAATGAGGGTACTGTACATTCCATCCTCAGGTACATGTCGTCGTCAAAAGGAAGTGGAAGGCGCGCCTGCTACCACAACGAGACTTAACCGAACAACAATGGCAACTATGATCTCGTCATTTTGCCTTGAGGTACATAAATGACATCCGTCCCTTCCCCAAATGATAACGTTACTCGAGCCTCTATTTTCCATTCCAAGTAACCAAAACACCACTAACGAAGAAACAACGAACCGGCCAAACCAAACCAAACCTTCAACCAAATAGGGTCGTCTAAGGTGGAACGTGACCCCCACGAGAATAACGCTAAGATCACGACACGCTCAGAAGACTCTTGTCTTACTTGACTGTACGGGAATACGAGATTTGTTAGTCCAATGTAGTATGTACAGGTCCATTCTAGTTTCCGGTTGTTGTTGGGTTGTTGGTTGTCCCTGCCGCAGATTTCCTGTCCGCAGCGCGATCATATCGTGCTTGCCTCACTATTCGGCTCATCTATGGAAACTACCCCGCTAGACGGCCCATCCGCACTCTGCCGCGTTTTGTAGTCTTCTATCTTACGTGTTGGGATCGAGCTGACAGTTCTAAGGTGTGGGGAACAGAGAAATCGAGATCAGGTGAAAGCAATTGATCCGACCTCAGAAGTCCGGACTGAAATACGTCTTTGGTGGGATACGACCGAACCAACTGGAACTCTTCTATTTGATGATGGGTATATAAACTGTCTCGCTACTTCCTATCCTGACGCGATCAGAAGCACTTCGAATTCTCCAAGCGCAGAGCAACACCCAGGTCCCCTACCCGCCTACCTACGGTAGTATACGGCTTTTCAGTCCAGTTTACTTACCATATTCAGCATCATCTTACCTTCCATCAACCTCAAACAGCCCACCCCAAGTTCCCAACATGACGAACAAACCCAGCAATCGCTCCGGACTCTTCCTCACCGGCCTCTTCCTCCTCCTCCTCCGCTCAGTGGCCGCCTCCCCGTTCCTGCTTCTTCGGCATCCGGTCCCGTCGTCTCAATCCAGCAGTCCCCCAACTCCAACTCAAATCACGCCATGACCGCCTCCTTTTCCACCGACGACAACCTCCCTGCAGGCTGTACCAACACCTCTCTTCACGGATTCCAATGGACCGTGTCCGACTTTCACTACTCCTCCTCTCTGACCTACACCACGCCCTCGCACCGCATCAACGGCGCCACGGTCCGGTTTAATCTGACTAGTAACGCGTTGCCAAAGCTAAACGTGTACTGCGATGCTTATAGCAGTGATTTTTCGGATTCGTTTTACGGGCAGAGGGTATATGATTGTACGACTGTGGTGAACTCGACTTTGGGTGCAAGTGTAGGGGAAAAGGAGGGAGGAGTGTTGGCTGAGGGAGGACGGTCCCAGACGCAGTTTCGGTATTGGAAGAGTAGTCAGAGTGTGGAGGTGAGGCAGACTTGGGAGTGTGATGATTTGGAGGGGCCGGGGAACATGTAAGTTCTAGCAGCTCCCTCTCTCTTTCTGCTGCCAGCTCTCTCAGATTGAAGTCACTAGAATGAAGTCTGAGCTAATAACATCAACGAACTCCCCAGGGCCATCTTCTCTGCCAACGGCACTTCTGCCGCGCAGACGCCCAACTGCACCTTCGAAGAGCACCAGACGCCTCCCTCCGAGTGGAAGAATGGCGATACCTACTACTGGAACGTCCAGGCTTGCACTCTGTCTGAGTTCTCGTTTGCGCCGTCGGAGCTTCAGGTGTTTGCGTAGCCTTTCGATCACGGCAACGGCGTTAATGACGGGACGGATACGGATGCGCATCCGGAAGCGGGAACGGGCGGTTGCAGACTGCTGAGTAGTGACGGGTGGCTGATAATGAGTCTGCTCGACTAATGGGTGGTTGATAGAAGTCTGGGGGTCAAAACCTGGAGATATTTGCTGCTAGCTCGATGACTGCAATAATGGTAATACGGAAACTTGATTCGAACATGGATTTCAATGCTGGTTAGTGGTATTCCCGTGTCGTATACGATACAATTTTCCGAAAACGATAGCTGGCAAGAGTCCGCTTGGTACTCAACGAAACTTCGGAGAGGCACCACTCAAGAGGGGTCCATTTCCAAAATCACCAAGCTTCGGTCGCAACGACAACATCAAAAATGGGGCCAAATGAACCAATCTTCCTGACGTGGTATCTCTCAACAATCCTCAGATGTCAGGATATCCTGAGGTCGGTTTTCGCTTGACTTTGCGCTTGACCTTCACTGTCATGGCCAGCAATTGGTCATGCTCCAAAAGAAGAAAACACCTCAAGCTGGAGGTGTGGCCTCAGAAGTATGGGAATATTTGTGTTGGTCTTACTGCCAAATGGACGGTTGCTGGCTACCGTTTTCGACAATCGCCCAATGGTTGTTGACAACAACGACATTTTGATGCATGACAGTAGGTAGCACTTGGCTTTTCCTCATCAACCAACACCTATTTTCCCTCATGCATCGATGCCTGGGAAACCGGCATACGCAGCAGGGTGACGAAAAGGCGGGGTTGGCTGTTGAGCGTAGCTGCATATTGCAATGTGGCAGTGTTCGTTGGGTAGGTACGGTGCGCGGGTGCCTTTACGCCTTCGCCTTGGATTTAAGATCTGAATCATCCTCTTCTCACCCGACCCCCTCATCCGACCGTTTGTTCCAGTCTTCATTGCGCTTTTATGGTACAGACGGCATCAATTTTGGGAACCAAACTCATTACGCCTTGCTTTTCGAAGAACTCCTCCTCTGAATTTCTTTTTCTCAGAGACAAGAACATAAAGACTCAGACAACATGACAAACCTCAAGTCGACCGCAGACCCGTGAGTAGAGACAAGCATGAATCAATTGATTAGGAAAACGTACTCGAATCTCCAGCTGACCAACCTGCGTCAAGGCCTCCTTACTACCCCCCTTCCATCCCCGACGAAATCACCGAATGGTTCCCCTCCAAAAACTCGGTTCTCCATACCCAAGTTACCGAGCTCAGCCGATTGCTCGGACACAAAGTGATTATTGAAGCCGACTGGCAGCGTCTGCTGGACGAGTTCGGCGATCAACAAGAACCTGCACTCGCCGAAGCAGTCCACGTCATCATGGAAGCATGGTGCTATGAGCTGAACTCGATTCTTGATCACCCGGATAGTGATGATTGGTTGACTAGGCTTCTCACCCGTCTGGTCAAAGCCAATGGAAAGCTGAGGGTCATGTTGGACGTGTGGGAGAATACTCAGTTGGGCACGAGCTGGTCGGATGAGAGAAATGGTTTCTTCGTGCACTTGCCAAAGCATTTTCTATTTGTGAGGAGGGCGTTGAAAAGGGGAGAGTGTGTGATTTGCGAAGAGTTCCAAAAGGAATTGTTGTCGTGCTTCGTCGCGACTGCAAATGATAAGCAGGACTCGAACCCCGAGCTGGGAAAGGAAGCGTGGACGGGAACGGCGAAGGAGTCGTTGAAGCAGTTTAATGTGAGGGACGAGAAGTCGGGAGAAGAAAGGTCAAGCACTGCGGCTGGAGCAGCTCCAGCCGGTGCTGGTAAACACCAACCGAAAGACGCGAACGCGAAGACGACCGCGACCTCGTCCGCGTCCTCTACCGAGCCAAAGCCAGCGAGCTTTCCTAATGTCGCTTCCCTCCCGCCGCTCTCCGAAATCTGCTCGAACCCGCCCTACCATATCACCATCCACGACGGGTCAAGGCCTGGTTGGATCAGCATTCATGGTAGCCACGGCGCTTCGCTGAAGCTCATTGACGATTACATCAGTAAATGGACCCCAGACGTCGAAATGGAGAGCGAGGATAGACCGCCGACCTTTGATACGGCAGTGAATGGGGCGATGACTACGCTGACGATCAGGAAGGTGGTCGAAAAAAGGTGGGAAACGAGGCCTCTGTCAGTAACGGTGCCGATGGTGTTGGCGATTATAGAAAGCACACTGGGCTATGAGGTCGTCTGGCAGGGAAGCGGAGAGTACAGGTTGAGGAGAGATGCGCCGTTTGTGTATGAGTGAGGTGAGCGCCTGGTGATATGTAGTCCTCATGAGCCTCAACGCGTTTTCCATCGCGGTCATCGGACCCGAGGTCGATAAGGCGGGTCGAAGATAACCAGTGACGTTGTTGCTGGCGATTAACAAAACAAAGCCCCTGAGACCAGACCCTGGGTTCCTGAGAGGGAGCCTCATTGCGGATCGCGACTCGGAGTGGTGGATCCCGTCATGGGCGATCAATGGACATATGGCTTATTTCTAGTGACGAAAGGGCCTGAATAGGATGGGAGGCTCATTTTGTTCGGTTTCTGCGGAAGTTGCAATTATAAGTATATTCGGACCCAACCCATGTTGTTGTTTGATGAGTGTCGTGAGGCCGAGTTGTTGACGCGAGGCGTTGCGTTGACGCGAGGGAGGTGACGTCGGAGATATGGTGGGTTCGAAGCGATAGCGCCGACGGGATTCGGCCAAGGCGACGGTTCCCTAAAATCTTCAGGCTGAGAACACGACAGTTTCAGTGGATGCTTCAGACCAATGCACAGGGCTTTTATCTCTTGGCAGCAACACTAGCACCCGTCAATACAAACAAGAATCAACGGTGCCAGAAGGTACTTAGAACCCCGAACCGCATGTCCTCCGTGTCCGTTCCGTAGGTTGACCCCGGGCCGACCCCGTGTCGGTCAGTGGGAGCTTTTGTGTGCGGGAGTCCAGCTAGTACCTCAAGCTACCTACCTCTAGGTAATAGTGTAGAGAGCCGTCTCGCAACAGATGTCCAGACCACCACTTGACAGCGAGATGGAGCGCTAGAACACACTGACAGCGGGCGCGTAGAAGGTGTGTAGAAGGCGGGAAGGAAGTAGCACAGAGGACGTCACGGTGGGGCTGCTTGATCCGTGCACCCACTCGCCGGCCACACGCCCTGTGACGCTAGCCTTATCCAACCCTAGCGCGTCGAATCTGTTCTTGGTTTCTCCGAATTCTGGTTCCCCACCAAGGCAGGGCAGGCAGGCGTGTCCCGTACACTCTGGGCTGTATGGTAGACGATTGGAGGGGATCATTGGCAGCAGACTGGCTCCAGGCTCTGCATGTTTTTTGTGAGGCATTTGCCCTGCCTGCCCTGGGGGGGAGCCATATCTGCCAAATCTGCCAGTTCACCCGACTCGACCTCGAACCTCAAACTCCCTTTTCTCCAGTTCGAATATTTTTCCTCCCTCACCCTTCGGCCGCCGCTCCTTCAATTCCTCTCCGCTCTTGTCCTTGGTCATTGGCAAACCAGTCCTTCAAAATGCTCTCCAGAAACTCCATGGTATGTTTGCTCATACTGCTGCTGCTGCTGCTGTCTTGGCTCCTTGTGCTTCTGCTGCCGCAAAAATCTGCCACCCGACGTCATCCCCGCTCCCAACTCAACAACCATCTCGGATGGCGGGCATATTGGTCGCGTACATGACGCCCGCTTGTCAGACTTGCGCCGTGCCGCTGCCGCTACGTGCCATGCTAGCACATGCTCACGATACCTACCTATACGGTCGACGCACGCGACTAACATGTGTTTCCCCTACAGCGCCTTGCTCGGGCCGTTGCCCAGCCCACTCCCCGCCTCGCCCGCGGCTTCGCCAGCGTCCAGGACACTCCTGCGCAGACCCTCCAGTCCGACATCTTCAAGCCCACCAAGTACGGCGGCAAGTACACCGTCACCCTCATCCCCGGTGACGGTATCGGTGCCGAGGTTGCCGAGTCCGTCAAGACCGTCTTCAAGGCCGACAATGTCCCCATTACCTGGGAGCAGATCGAGGTTTCGGGTGTCCAGGACAACGCCAGCCGCACCGAGGAGGCTTTCCAGCAGGCCGTTGCCTCTCTGAGGAGGAACAAGCTCGGTCTCAAGGGTATCCTCCACACCCCCATCAGCCGCTCCGGCCACCAGAGCTTCAACGTCGCCATGCGCCAGGAGCTCGACATCTACGCCTCCATCTCGCTCGTCAAGAACCTCCCCGGCCTCCAGACCCGCCACAAGGACGTCGATCTCTGCATCATCCGTGAGAACACCGAGGGTGAGTACTCCGGTCTCGAGCACCAGTCTGTCGATGGCGTCGTCGAGTCCCTCAAGATCATCACCCGCGCCAAGTCCGAGCGCATCACCAAGTTCGCCTTCCAGTTCGCCCTTGCCAACCAGCGCAAGAAGGTTACCTGCATTCACAAGGCCAACATCATGAAGCTCGCCGATGGTCTCTTCCGCGGCACCTTCAACCGCCTCGCCAAGGACTTCCCTCAGCTCGAGTGCAACGACATGATCGTCGATAACGCCTCCATGCAGTGCGTCAGCAAGCCCCAGCAGTTCGACGTCATGGTCATGCCCAACCTTTACGGTGGCATTCTCTCCAACATCGCCGCTGCCCTTGTCGGTGGCCCCGGTGTCGTCCCCGGCTGCAACATGGGCCGTGACGTCGCCGTCTTCGAGCCCGGCTGCCGTCACGTCGGTCTTGATATCCAGGGCAAGGACCAGGCCAACCCTACCGCTCTCCTTCTCAGCGGTACCATGCTCCTCCGCCACCTCGGTCTTGATGACCACGCCAACCGCATCTCCAACGCCGTCTACGACGTCATTGCTCAGGGGTAAGTTCCTCTACCACTGCGCCTTTACTAAAAACACGTGCTAACCCCCTTCACAGCAAGGTCCGCACCCGCGATATGGGCGGCGAGGCCTCCACCCACGAGTTCACTCGCGCCATCCTCGACTCCATGGAGAAGTCTCTCTAAAGATACCCCGCAACGTAGGACAAGCCTTGGCCTGAATAGAAAAAGACCATGCGTTTAATCCGACTGCATCTGCGCTCATTTCCATCTTTCGCCTTTAATTTACACTGTATAACGGCCCAGCCGCCGCCGGCTGGTTGGAGATACCACGACGGAGGTGATTACTTGTTCTTGACCTGGACGAGTAGATTGGGAGAGAAGGGAGCATTCACCGTCTCCTATTATCCCTTGTATTGTACGTAGAGTTGGCTATACGAATTCCATTTCATTTGTCTGCTATATACCGGCGATCTTGGGGCGGGAGACAAGTCGTGCAATTTCCGAGCAATCCGAAGCATTTACACAGAATATAGGAGTTTTGGGTCTTATAGGGGGCTTTCCTCATGGCGCCTAGGTTGTTGATCTTGAATCGTGTTCAACTCCATCAAGCTCTCCCGAGCGGTCCGCTTTGTCTCTTCCGTATTTCCATCGCCTGTACGGGGATTAAGCTTTATCAGTGGGGGGTCTTGACTAAGGCCTGTCTGACATTCTCACTCAAACAGGAACCCCGACAGGTACGCTACCGCTTCCTAGTTAAACAGGTCTCTTAGCGCCCGGTGTCCACCATGGTCGACATGCAGCTGATGCCAAGGGAAATAGGGCTCCCGGCTCCCATATTCCGACGCTGAAGCAGCCCCACGGATCGGGACTGCTTGTCTAGGCTCTGGATGACCACCACATTACGACGTTGTAAGGTATGGTCAGGAGCATCGACAACGGCAGGTAACAACATCCCCAGATCACCAACACAATGTAGAGGAAGAGAAAAGGGGGCTGGCAGGTAAACACACCGAAAACGGACCGTCGGTATGAGCCAATGGCTGCGTGCCTGGGATATGCTATGGATGGATGGATTCAATGGAAGTGGTTCCTCCATCCTCTTAATCACCTGAGTGTCTAGTCAAGACATTAAAAACCCAACGACTTCATGCATCTCAGTTATCTCTTTCCGAAGCCTTGATGTCCGTCGAACGACCCAACGAATGGAGACATCAATACGGACAGATGTAGAGATTGCCCCAAATGTAAGATGTAGTCGGGGTTGCATCGATAGGTACCGCATGGTAAGTAGTATGCGGCGTATGTATGCGCCTATGACGCACACCAAGACCGCTTTATATTGCCTTTCCCATAAGTGGTTGATATCCTCAGAATGTTAACGTGAATAGAGATGCATTTTTTAGGTTGACAGGTAGGCAGGCAAGCAGGCAGGCAGACAAGGTCTAGTCCTTGACGTTGCAGTTTCTGCAAAGTGTAGCTAGGGCTGAAGATGACGGGCGTTCCGAAAAGAGAAAAGAAAGCGGATTTGCGACACCGGCTGGCTACCCTGGCATCCTACCTAGCCTCCTCGGATGCATTGACCGTGCCGTAACAGCTATCTTCAACGAATGAGTCGCGATGTTTGTGCGTGGGAGTTTCATACCTAGGTAGGAAGCTCGATTATCTTTAGAGGATGTCGTCGGGTAGTGGTTGGCCAAACTGAGTGGTTGAAGATACCTACCTCTACCATAGCCCGTATTGCTGCGTTAAGGCTTTATTGGATTTCGCAGGAAAAACAATGCCAAAAAAAAAAAAAAAAAAAAAAAAAAAAAAAAATACGCAGTGATTCAGAGCGGTAGGACCAAGCTTCCGTAAAGGTAGGTAAAATGCGGAGAAGCATTGATAGACATGGATTTATTTGATGGGGGCTGAAACTCGGAAACAACTACGAGTCCTGGGAACTGGAAGCTGTAAGGAGCTAGCTGGGAGGAGCTGTAAAGGGCTGTGAATCTGACTGCATCGCAGGATTCAAGCCCACCCAGTAATTGATTTGATTGCTCGATTGATTCAAAAAAGCTCAGCCTCTTGTGAACCGTGGGCGGCTCTACATGTTGCTGATTGCTGACGACAGACACACACACTTACACACACCGACTCCGACCAACAGCTCATGAACGCCACCACCAAACAAACCGGGGGATCGGGGGGGATATTCGAAACAAGAAACCCGAATGGGTAAACTGGTAGTGGCGGGGAAGGAGAAACATGTTTCCCAACGAGGCTGAAAAGGAGGTAATCAGCTGACTGTTTATTGACCGGTCACTTGCTTGATGGGCGCTGGGGGGGCGGTAAACCTGAGTAAGTGGAAGATCATGGTTTGGCTGGAAGTGACTTGGGAAAGATGACGACGGCTGGCTTTTCAGAGGGATGGAAGTTGTCTGCCTTGGGAGATTCTGGGAGTATTTATACTTTGGGGTTTTCCCTTTGTGAAAAGTGTCACCTGGAGATGGGAGAAGCCTTGATGTACGACATCAGCAGTTATCTCCTTACGAAAGACCGCTAAGCAACCCATACAGAAACAACGAACCAAGAACACTAGGCCAGAGAGCAGCAACCATGAGCACCGATATCAAATTTGCCATCACGGGTGTTCCCACCACTCCCTCCAGCAATGGTGACCCTCCCTTCCCTTTTGTCACAAGCCACTGCTATGACTGCTCGTACTAATACAAACACCTAGGAGCGGTCCCTCTCCGCCGCGAGCTCCGCGACCTCCAACAAAACTACCCGGAGCAGTTCAATCTCTACCTCCTCGGCCTGCGCGACTTCCAAGGCCTCGACGAAGCCAAGCTAGACTCGTACTACCAAGTCGCTGGCATCCACGGCATGCCCTTCAAGCCGTGGGCCGGCGTCCCTTCCGACACGGACTGGTCCCAACCCGGCAGCAGCGGCTTTGGCGGCTACTGCACGCACTCGTCCATCCTCTTCATCACCTGGCACAGACCCTACCTTGCTCTGTACGAGCAGGCCCTCTACGCCTCCGTGCAAGCCGTTGCCCAAAAGTTCCCTGTGGAAGGGGGGCTGAGAGCCAAGTACGTTGCGGCCGCCAAGGATTTCAGGGCGCCGTACTTTGACTGGGCTAGTCAGCCTCCTAAAGGAACGCTGGCGTTTCCGGAGTCCCTCTCATCGCGTAACATACAAGTGGTGGATGTCGACGGGAAGACCAAGAGCATCAACAACCCGCTGCACCGGTTTACTTTCCACCCGGTCAACCCTAGCCCGGGTGACTTCAGCGCGGCGTGGAGCAGATACCCGAGCACGGTCCGGTATCCAAACCGGCTGACAGGGGCATCGCGGGATGAGCGGATTGCGCCCATCTTGGCGAACGAGCTGGCGTCGTTGAGAAATAATGTCAGTCTGTTGTTGCTGAGCTACAAGGACTTCGATGCGTTCAGTTATAACAGGTGGGATCCGAATACCAACCCGGGTGATTTCGGCAGTTTGGAGGATGTGCATAATGAGATTCATGATCGGACGGGCGGAAATGGACATATGTCGAGCCTGGAGGTGTCGGCTTTTGATCCGCTGTTTTGGTTGCACCATATGTATGTGGTCACTCCCCTTTTCCCTTTTTTCTTTTCATCGGTCACACCTGACAGGCTCCATTCCGTTATCGTCGCTGACATGAAGGCCTTGATCTGAAGTAACGTCGACCGCCTCTGGTCCATCTGGCAAGACCTCAACCCCAACAGCTTCATGACTCCCCGGCCCGCGCCCTACTCGACTTTCGTCGCACAGGAGGGTGAAAGCCAGAGTAAAAACACGCCTCTGGAGCCGTTCTGGGACAAATCTGCTGCCAACTTTTGGACCTCTGAGCAGGTCAAGGACAGCACCACCTTCGGATACGCGTATCCTGAAACGCAGAAGTGGAAGTACTCATCCGTAAAGGAGTACCAGGCAGCCATCAGGAAGTCTGTCACGGCGCTGTACGGGAGCAATGTGTTTTCCAACTTTGTTGAGAACGTCGCCGACCGGACGCCGGCGTTGAAGAAGCCGCAGGCAACTGGCGAGGAGAGCAAGAGCACCGTCTCGGCGGCTGCTGCTCATGCAGTTGAGCTTTCCGGTGCCAAGAAGGTCGCAGAGAAGGTCCATAATGTGTTCCAGCACGCTGAGGAGAAGGCACAGAAGCCGGTGGTGCCTGTTAAGGATACAAAGGCCGAGTCGAGCACGGCCGCAGGTATGATGATCGGCTTGAGCATAAAATGTCCATCCGAGCTGACAGCTTCACCAGGCCCAATTCCAGAAAGCCTCAAGTACCTCGCCCCAGACGGCAAGTACACCGACTGGATCGTCAACGTTCGCGCCCAGAAACACGGTCTCGGGCAATCCTTCCGTGTCATCGTCTTCTTGGGCGAGTTCAATCCCGACCCAGAGACCTGGGACGACGAGTTCAACTGCGTCGGTCGTGTGTCCGTGTTGGGACGGAGCGCCGAAACCCAGTGTGGCAAGTGCCGCAAGGATAACGCAAACGGTCTGATCGTCTCAGGCACCGTTCCCCTGACCTCCGCTTTGCTGCAGGATATCGTGGGTGGTGAGCTCCAGAGCCTCAAGCCTGAGGATGTCATCCCGCATCTGCGCGCCAACTTGAAGTGGAAGGTGGCGCTCTTCAACGGCGATGAGTATAATCTGGAGGAGGTTCCGGACCTCAAGGTCAGTGTGGCTTCGACAGAGGTGACTATCGATGAGGAAGGCTTGCCACATTACTCTCGCCAGTATACCGTCTATCCTGAGATCACCGAGGGGAAGCCGTGCGGACATGGCCCAGAGGATCACATCTAAAGGGGGATTCAGCATCAGAATGTAGGAAGATGCAAAAGGGGGTCCTGTAGGGTGAGATCAAGAAACCGGGTATCGTTATTTCAGCCGTAAAAGAAATGGCAAGATCCAGAACAAAAAGAGACATATTTTTTCATCGCCGTAGCCACCCAAACGCCTTCCCAATGCAGAAGAGAACAAGAGATAAACAGACCCAACCACCCAGAAGCTCAGAACTGGATACGGCGCTTGCGACCAGTGTACTTGGAGGTGGCCTTGACAATCTTGCCCTTGCGCTCCATCTGCTCCTTCTTCTTGATGATCCAGCCCTTGCTGCCCTTCTTGATCTCGCCCTTTCCGCCCTTGCCCTTCTTTCTCTGGTCAAGGATATCGACGCCGTCCATGTTTTCGACGACAGTGCTGATGTCCTTGCCACCGGTTGCGTCCTTGCCGACCGTGAGAACCAGGTAAAGTTTGACGTTCTTGGTGTTGGGGTCGTCCTCGAGCAGACCGGCGCCGAAGCCAGCCTTGACGGCGGCGGCAGTGATCATCTGCTTTTGTACGTCGTTCTTGGGGTAGAACTGGCAGACGGCTCTGCCACCACGCTTGAGCGAGGCGTAGAGGCCGTTGAAGAAGCGCGAGAGTCTGGTGGACGGGGCGGTGTCGCTGGTTTCGGCGTTGCATAGCCATTGGATGGCACTGATGCTGATGGCGGCGTCGAAGGAACCGGCGCGGAATGGCACGCCCTGGCCAATATCTGCGAGGAAAAGATCGCCCTCGACGTCGCGCTGTAGAGCCGTATCCAACATGGACGGGCTGATGTCCATGCCAACCCAGACGTGAGGGCCGCCTTCGTCTTCGGGGACGTCCGAGAGGATCTCGCCGGAGAGACCACTGCCGCAACCGATGTCGAGGATGAAGCTGGGAGACTTGAGGTCGAGGAGCTCGAGGGCACGACGGGTCATGGAGGCCTGAATGTTCTGGATACGGGAGCTGGTGGTGTACTTGCGAGCTTCGGTGTCGTCATAGTGGACATCGGCCGCGCTGTTGTTGTTAGTTTTGGAGCACAAAACGAGGAGGACGGGAGTGCTTGTCGTGGACCTACAGGGTATCTTCGGGGCGAGACATGGTGGGCTGGCTAGATTGAGACTATACAGTTATAACACAAGGCGATTGACGACTGGCTAGAGGAGAGAAGTGATTTATGTCCAGGAATGCGACAAGCAGAAGTGGAAATGCGCCGACAGCGGATGGATTGACAGGATGGTGCTGCTGGTCAGCCTGGTGCTGGTGCTGGTGCTGGTGCTGGTACTGGCGAGCGGTGTGGTGGGACACAAAAAAGTTTCAATGGGCCCTTTTGGAAGTGGGGTTGTTCTGGGGTTCCGCCAAGGGCGATCGCTGGTGGGATTGGCGGTAGCTTATCGACATTTCCTTATCGTACCTTAACGGCCGCCAATTCCAGCCCATGATGACATTTGCTTGCAACCGTCACGGTCTGCCCCACTTTAAAACACGGCCTGTTTAATTGAACACGTCAGGGGTAAGTACAAGCAGTGACCATCCGGGGAAATAGGGACCGGGAGCTTCCATAGGGCACAAGGGGTTGTCTCCAGGCTCACCACTTGGCACCCAGCCTTGAGCTTTCTCCAGAAACAACATCTCCATACCTCTAACACAACATTGCCATTCGGCTTGGTTGACCTCCCTACCACCAGCCAGTTCCCATATCATGCCCGTCTAATTCCAATCCAATCAATTTACTATCTCAACATGTGGATTCTGCCTCTTGTTGGCTATCTCGGCTCCATCGCGGGCTTCTGTTTTCTGACCCTGGCTATTGGTACGTCTTGCTCCGTGAAGCTGCCTGCTGCGGGAGACCGGCCTGCATTTCCATGCTAACAAGGCGCCCATTGCCTCATAGCCTCGGGTCTATACTACCTGTCCGAAGTTGTCGAAGAACATACCGTTGTTGCCAAGCGCTTCCTTACTCGACTTATCTACACCATCATCGTCATCCAGCTTCTACTATGCCTTGTCGACCGATTCCCCTTCTTCCTAACACTGCTCAGTGTTGGCTCCCATGTCGTCTACTTGGGTAATATGCGGAGGTTCCCCTATGTCAAATTGACAGACCCGTTGTTCCTGTTGTCATGCGGTAAGCTTGAGCAAACAAGCCCCTTTTTAACTCACATCAACTCTCTCATCTCGTATGCCTCTGCTGACGTTGGCTGTCCCTGCCAGGCCTCGTTCTCGTCAACCATTACCTGTGGTTCAAGCACTTCTCGGGTCACCAAGAGCGCGCCTACCAAAACATGACTTCTTACTACGACATGCCATCCAACGTTCCCACCTTCACCGAGATCGCATCCTACTTCGGCATTTGCGTATGGCTGGTTCCTTTCGCCCTCTTTGTCAGCTTGTCGGCAAGTGACAATGTCCTGCCCACCATGGGTAATGAGGCCTCTTCGAGCGGTGGCGCTGGCGGTGTCGGTGGTGATGGTACAAGGGCAAGACGAGGGCAGGGCCTGATCAAGTCCGTTGTCGACAACATCCTGGGGGCTGTGGGAGGAGTTACGTCCACAGTGGGCTGGAAGAAGTCCGACGATCGGCTATAGGAGGTCTAGGGCACTGTGAGAAAGAGGAGGGCCAGTTATTATAAATTTCGTGTAAGTTCTCGTGTCGGCGAGATAGCAGTGTCAACCGCACGCTAATCACATACCTAGATCGATATTGAGCAAAAACAAGCGTTGTTATCCTGCTTCGTCCTCCCCTTATCAGCGTTAATCGCCCAGCGAATGAGCAGATCTGCTATACTGTTTGACTCTATAAACTCCTAGGTCATCTCCACGCCAACCATGCCCCAATCTCGGGTACCGCATTGCGTCGTGACCAAAAACGAAGCCGCCCTTACATTAGACTTACCGCCCAGTATCCGAAACCTCTAGCTACTAATACAAGTCCATCGATGAAGGTGTCCGACTAGAAAAGGAGATCCACTGTTAACTCTTCCCATGCTTGGTCGCTTCTTCTGTCCGGCTCGCTCCGCGGATGATGCCACTCAGTCGCCTCATGCCTTCTCAGCTCTCGATTTTCGACCCTTCGCAGCTCCTTCAAGATATCTTGGACGGCATCAAGATTTCGAGCCGTCAGACAATGACAGGCCACTCCGCTTATCGCATGGGTGCATCCTAGGTCCTCGTCATCCGAATGTACGTCGGTCGCGCCAGTCAGATCCAAGGCAGGAACCAACATGGCATTCACCATGGGCTGAAGAACCCCTAGCTCCATTATGCTTCCCAAGTCGCGCTCAGATACCGTCGAAGGGAAGCTGGCATCCAAAGTCAGTCCGCTATGCTGCGTCACGAGGTCGTTGATGGAGAAATCGCCCCCAGTCGAGACGCTGATCGTTGTGACGTCGGAAACATGCTCCCGTTGCGATCCGCTATATTCGCTGTCCGAATCGGAGCCTGAGCTCATGCCATCTGCCTCAGTTATGCTTTTGCCGTCCTCATTGTCGCTGTCGTAAACGAGAATAACCGACGGGGATTGGTAATCTTGGTCATCTCTCTCGTCCTCAGCATAATTGATGTGAGGAGGATAGATGACAGTCAAGGTCTCATGCCCGAAATACCAGTCGCTAGAAGCGACATGAAGGGTATCATCATGCTGGATGGTGTAGGTCATTCTTTCAGGCTTTTTGGTGCCTTTGCCACGGCCCGGAAGTAGGGGTATTGTTGAGCTCGATTCAGAGCGGCCTTGAATGTCTTTAGGGGTTTCAAAGTTAAATGGAGAAACCGGCGAGGTCAACAGTCCCATGGAACAGGATCTTAAACGAAGAACAACGAAAGCTAAGGGCTTCGTCCTAATCGTCCTACCGGCAGAGGATCTCGCCTTCGACTCATCGCCTGGCAACAAGGCCCCGCTATTCCCCTTCCCATCCTCCAGGATATATTTTCCTTGCGCAACGCCCAGGGCAAGCCAGGGGCCTTTTGCCATCCCACCATCATGGCAAACTGCATGAGTGGCGTTGTGTGGCAGACCGCGGGTAACCATAGAGAGCCAATCGCACCGCTCCGCTAACGAGAAATCTGCCGTACTGTCCTGAGCACGCAATCGTGGGAAGAAGGATTTAGGGGAAGTCTTGCCTATAGGAGGGTGAGGGGCATTGGTGATGGGTTCGGGTCTTTTTCCGACACGTTCGAATCGGTATCTCGCAGCTCTACTCATGTCTGTCTCAGATTTATAGTGGTTGTAGAAGGTTTTGGCAGCAGAGGACTTCTACAAAAATCAAGGGAACCTGGGATGTACATTTGCGTTCAAAATACGATCACCACTAGCGCCCTACTATGGCATCCAATGCTTCGATGCTCTCCTTTCTCAGTACCTCTAATAACAACGGCCCGTAGCCGAAGGAAACATTACTAGGGACAACAGTAGACTTTCGTCGCTCCATGTCCCAGCATGAACCATTCAAGGGCTCGATGTTCAAGAACGCCCTGTACCAACCCATAAGGCACACCGCAGTGAATGTCGTGAATCCCTTCGCGGAAATAAGTGACTGATACTCTGTCATATGCCAAACTGTCACTGACCGCTTCACACCACATAAGTCCTATGACCCAAGTTTGCAGTTCTAGTTAGAGAATGGCCGCTTTCCCTCCTGCATCTATCCGTCCGCGCAACAAGGTTGTGCTATGCAAACGCTGGGGTAGCTCTTATAGGAGATGCTCAACAGCTATCTCTGCTTGGAGCTTCCATTCATCCATCCACATGTGATCTCGGCTCCCGCTTCACGGTATCTGACGTATGCCCTCCCCAACTTCGTGGAGATCTTCTGGAAGTAGTTCCGTTATTCTTCTCTAACTCACCGCCGGATGGGCACTTGAATGGACTACTCTAGCTTGGTAATTGTAACGACACCGCAGTCACATCCATTCTCGTGTTCACGGTCAAACAACCTCAACTACCCCAACCAGACTTGGACATGGTCTTTCCGGCAATCTCATAGTCTTAAGCTATATTCCCTTCGATCTTGTTTTTCTCTTTCTTTTGAACCCTCTTTGACTTCGGTATCTTTAGCATCAAGGAAGGAGTATCTTTCTTTTACCTTCCCTCTCCCATCCATTTTCCCTTCCCCTCCCCCCCCCCCCCCCCCCCCTTTTTTTTTTTTTTCTTCTTTCAGCTATTCTGGTTCACTCCTGCAGTCTCCCGGGTAGGCAGGCAAGGTGATCATATTACTCTGAACCCCGCGGAAGACCACGAGAGCATACCTCTAGAATATCTTGGTATCAGAACAACTATGATGTAACGGGAGATCGCGCAGGATACCGGCGGGTGTTTGTGTGTACATGTACCTCTTTGTAATCTCTGTTGTTGACGGACTTAAAAGGACCATGCATGCCTTCCCTTCGTTTGTAGATGCTGGGGTAGATGGATGCTTCCTACCTCGCTTTCTTCAGGTTGCGTGCTCGCCCTGTTTAGGTACCCATGTTGGTGGTGTTAGTGCGCTAGTAGTGTCTCTTTGTCTACCTATTTTCCATTAGAAGAAAAGGCGTGGATAAAGGCAGACCTGCTGAAGAAGACTTGTGGTCAGGTAACCACGTTTTGGTGAATGTTCTCTACCATTTTTTTGCTTGCTCTTTTTGTTGCCACTGATTTTCGACTTTACAACTTTTTTTTTGTTATTTCATCTCTGGATGTTTTCTTGTAGTCTCCCTTCTCGTTCCCCTCGGTTCTTTCGCTCTAGTTATCTTCTAGGTGCTCAAGAAGAAGAAGAACCCCTCTTTCACTTGCTCACCTCAGAATAGGTGTACAATGGGTAAAGCACAAGTTGACGAGTTACTCGTCGCAGTTTTCCTATACCTAAGTAGAATGCACGGAATCATCATCGATATGGTCCGAACGTAGATTTCTCTCTCTGCCCTATCTTTCCTCTCGTGACGTGAATATCTTGATCAACGTCTTGATGGGTCTTTATCTTTAGTTCGTGATAAAGCCGGATAAATGTTGCCATTAGCCACGGGGGTCACTATAACAGTTTCCCTCGCCGTGGTTAACGAACATCCTCAACCTTTACTCTGTCAGGGTTCAAAATCGCAAAACCAAGCCGGTCACAGCCCAAGTCAGGCTGTCTAAGTGCAGGGCCTAAAGCAACTTGTTTGCCACGTCGTGAAGCCCGTTTGAGGCGTTGCTGAAAAGTGATGATGATCTGAACGCATCGAGTTTTAGCCGGTTGATATAAGGATTTTGGGCACTACAAGGTCAAAGAATAAAACATAGCCTTTCCAAAGGTCTCGCCAGGTCACACAGGCAGTAACGGTTGTAACAATCTTCATGGAACTTGACAGGAGGCGTAACCCTTGTCTTGCTATACCCAATCCCCCGCCCCCATGCTGATGCGAGAGCACGGTTGCGGAAAAAAATCAGTTTAACTTGGGAGCAAAAGCTAAAAGACGAGGAGGAGCACATGTCAGTTATTCCTAGGTAGCTATCAATGCAAAGCACATCAGCATGTTGGTCTGAGGCACCCATTCACAACTAGCGTGACCACAGTTACAACTCCGAGCCCTATGCGGCAATGTATTTACACCCATCAAATCCGAACAGGAACAGAGTCTCTCCGAGCAAGCAAATGGCCGTCAGAAACCAGCGAGTTCTTGCACGGCACTCTTCTGAGAAAGTCTTCCAAATTGCTCAACGTGGACTCCGCAATCTCTGTCAACGCCTCCTCCGTGAAGAAAGCCTGATGGCCACAAATTATCACATTGTGGAACGTTGTCAACCGCATCAGCTCATCGTCCTGAATGATATGGCCGCTGTGATCCTGGTAGAACAGGGCGCTCTCTCCCTCGTAGACATCAAGCGCGAGCCCACCCAGCTGATGACTTTTGAGAGCGTCAATGACGGCCTTTGTGTTGACTAACCCACCACGCGACGTGTTGACGAGCATGGCATCCTTTTTCATCTTGGCGAGCGTCTGCTTGTTTATGATGTGCTTCGTCAGATCTGTCAGAGGACAGTGGAGAGATACAAAGTCGCATTGGGGCAGCAGTTCGTCGAGACTGGTATACTCGCCGTACGGCTTAAAGAAATCGGTAGGATAGGGATCGTAGGCGACCAGCTTGCAGCCAAAGCCCTGGAGGATGCGAGCAAGACTAACACCAATCTTGCCAGTGCCAATGATACCGACTGTTTTGCCGTAAAGCGTACGACCGAGCAGGCCATCGAGGTTGAAGTTGCCCTCGCGCACGCGGTTGTAGGCTCGGTGCGTCTTGCGGTTGAGCGTCTGGATCAAAGCAATGGCGAACTCGGCGACGGCTTCGGGGGAGTACGAGGGAACGTTGGCGACGAAGAAGCCTAGACGCTCAGCTTCCTCGAGATCGACATTGTTGTACCCGGCGCAGCGCAGGAGGATGGCTCGCACGCCTTCTTGGCGGAGAGCCTTCAGGACAGACCCATTAAGCGTGTCATTGACGAAGACACAGACGGCAGTGGCGCCGACGGCAAGAGGGACAGTCTCAACAGAGAGCGGAAAGTCGTGGAAAACGAGCTCAGTGCGAGGAGCTAGGGAGCCTTGCACATGGGGGTTATCTGTATTTGCGAGGCCGTAGCGGGTAGCGTGTACTTGGGAAAGATATTCCCTGTCGTAAGGCTTCGCGCTGAAAACGGCCAATTTCATGGTGGTTTCCCCGCTGTGGGCGTCGTAGTGGCTGGAGAACTAAGTGCTGGGGTAATGGGGGAGGCTAGCGGCTGATTGGTGCGCTTTATGGGCCACTCTATTTCGAGGTTAATGGATGATTTGGAGATTTGTGATGAATGTGATATCAGGAGAAAGATATAGTCGAGGATTGAGATCGAAAGAGAGACAGATTGTATCAGCGTGCCGTATTAACTGGGGAAAGAAAGATTAGGGAATGCAGGGTTAGAGGTCATGATCAATCGCATCATAGGTACCTCGGGCATAGGTACATGCTCTTTCACATTTCTAGCTCAGCATTGTACGTACCTGCCTGGACCTACAGGGTATCAGATTTCTAGCACGAACCACCCCAAAGAAAGCTTCATGGGGCTGTATCGTGCGCTGTATGGCCATTGATCGTCAGTGACCTGGCCCACGGGTTTTACCTACCTTAGCGACATATCACCATACCTGTAGTAAGCACACGTTCCCAAAATCCGAACAGCTTGATGTTGCAATGCAATTATCAAACGAATCAAGTGTGATTTTTGAACTTGGCGCTGCCATCCTCTTTCCCATGATGCCTCATCGCTGCCCTGTTACAGAAGCCACAGTCCATCCACTGAGCCACTAACATTGTCCCTCAGGAGCTCCCAGCCAAGATGCCAAGCAATCCACATGTTTTTTTCGGGTTTGTCTCGCTGCCAGTTCCATGGTCACGTTGGTATTATAGGGGAAGAGCATTCGGGGCAAACACGTCTTTTCCGCCCTTGAAACGAAGTAACAAACTAACAAACTCGTCCACCTCGAATTGTTCCAACGTTCTAGTGTACATACTGTACTGTGCCTGAAGAACGATACCTACTAGCCCCTGGGCTCTGGGGTGATCTGCACTAAATTTAGCGAGTGGGAGCTAGCTGTGGGGCAGGACGGTGCATCCCGTTGCCGACCCGTGCGGCCCGCTTGATGACCTCCCGACATCTCAGGGGCGAAAACATGACTTGATTACCTTACCTACCTCTACCTACCGTGCCGCGAAAAATAAGAGGTAAAAACAAAGATTTGGTGATTTAAACTTCTGTACCTTGAGACATGGAATCAGCTATTCTTGGAACGTTCCTGATCTGTATTTGTAGGAATACGAGGGAGTGTCTCGCGTGTTCAAATGGTGCCAAGCGAGTGGAACCGTACTCAGGGGTCAAGTAAATAAAAAATGATGGATTGACCCGCTAAAAACCGGAAAATTGATCTCTGCCCATGCTATGGCCTCCAAGGATTGAAGAACGCCATCTCCCCTGTCCATAACTCCTATCTATACCATGTATTTACCGTTTTCATCTATCCATAGCACCTAGAATGAGACCTCCGCATGAGCCTGATACTCCTCCATCACGGCCGGTTTCATGGTAGTAAGTAACCTTCGAGGGACTTGGAGATGTGTTAATGGATGATGAAGCAAACTTCGGGCTTGTAGATATCCATGCTCAAGGAGATGGTGGCAACCACAGCTCAGAAACGTCTGTACTCGAGTTGAGGGAGGTCCTTGGCGAGGCGATCGAAGGTACCAAAGAAGACGACCATCGTCGACCTTCATGATGTTGGCCTTGTGGATGCAAGTAAATCTTCTCATCTACTCGTAATGTCCCCCAGTCGCCCCCTTAATGCTTGTTATTCGAGCAGTCGTGGCACATATCGCCGGGATACTGGACGCTCTCGCCGCAAGTGCAGGCCTTGCAGGCGCAAATGTATTGCCCGCCCTCAAAGGGGGACTGGTGCTGGTAGCTGGAGGAGTCGCTTCCCCTACGGCTCTGGGAGCCCGAAAACCCGTCGGAGAACCCGTAGTACGGGTCAAATGGTGTGGCGGGGGCAGGAGCGAGGGCCTTGGTCTTGTGGCCTCTGGCCTTATTGTTTGACCTGAAGAAATGCATTCTTGATCTTGGCAGAGGCAGCTGGTCGCGTCGTTGATGGATTCGGTCTTGGTGATTCTGGCGTTACGGATATTTGAAAGGTCTGATCTTGTTCTTGCGGTGCTTCTTCAAAGTCTTTCAAGGAGTGAATAAAGTCTTGGGAGGACTATGTTTTCATCGCAAATGTTAGCGTTCATACTTGGTCATAGAGAGTAAGAGCCGTTGACCTACCTGCTGTATACTGATGGTTGAAGATGTTACTGTCACGATAAAGATGTCAGCAACGAGTGAAATGAGAGAAGTTCGAAAGTCCAGCCTGAAAGCGGGGTCTTTATTTGATGTCAACGGTCAGCTCCTCCTCAAAATTATCTCAACTTTCCAATTGCAAAGCTGCCCGTCTGTCACAGATTCAGCAGCCTAGCGCATCAAACCGTTTCTAGCCAGTCTCTGACAGGTGACAAATTAAGGTTAAAGTCAGGCGTTATTACAGGTCTCCGCTCCATTGCTATTGCGGTTTCAGAACGTGTGGGTAAGGCTGAACTGCGAAGTCCCAATCCCGGTGAGATTCGGGGCTTCGACTGGAGCCAACACAAGTAAAAGGCGTCCTGACGAGGCAAAAGAGGGCGAAAGCAGGGTTCCCAAGTCGAGCCGGAGACCGGTCGCGCTTGCATTTGGTCACTTGCATGCCGAAGAGGCTCACTCTTACCTTGAAGTACCTTCGCTACCTACCTTGACTGCTCTCTGAGTGGTGCAACTGAAAGTCTCGCGAGGCAGATTGCATGCTCGATGAAGCAGAGTCAAGCCTTCCCAAGGAGTTGCGGATATCAGCATCGCTTCGTGTAAATGTAGAATATGCGTATGCTTAGATTAACGAAGCCTTTGCGTGGATACGGTGTCCAACATCAAGAATAGTACCATATCCTTGTCGACGGGCTCTCCCAGCGCCAAGGTACCCGATGGCCGCAGCAACGGTGTCAAGGTTTAGGAAGCGGGTCTCAGGTCTGGGAAGAATTCAAGTCCACTCGGGCAGTCGTAGATGAAAGATTGGTACCGGATAGTAGCGATGCTTACTCGGCCCAACTGCCGTCATTTCAATCGGCAGTAAGGGATGAAACATGACACTTTCACCGAGATCACACCACTGCGTTTAATTTCACGGATCTCCACCCGATCTCGTTCATTCCACCTGCAGCAAGATGGCCAATGGGGATATGAGTGACCCTTTGATTGGAGGTCATATGCAAGGCACCAGGCACCAGGCACCAGGCACCAAGCACGATTGAAAAGAGAAAAAAATATGGCAAGCGCGATAATCGAACAAGCGCAAGGAAGGAACCGAATACACAAGACACCGCGGCGGTGTAAAGCGGAAGGTTGAAGAGCAAGTGAGAAGTATGCGAGGGCAAGAGTAGGTAAGCCGTCGCCGAAGCTGCGTGTTCCGCAGTCGGCGAATTCCGCCGGTGGCTAAGGTAATGGCTGCAAGCCGCCAAGGATCAAATCGATTGATGAAGGAATCGAACGAAAGGGACAGCCTGCAGCGGCGGAGGCGCTCTAGATACAGCCTGGATGCTCAGATTCAAAACTGAGCCCAATAATTGCAGAACAGTTACAGTTATGCCTGTACGGAATTCCCAGACATTTTGTTGATTATTTTCCGACATCTCATCCATTGATCAAGGATCCTATCAAAGCCAGGGGAGAAAAGAAAAAAAGGAAGATGGCGTAGGTGTCTGCAGGCCACCATGCAAGCTGTGACCAAAACGTGGGCAGAAATCAGGAGAAAATCCTACCAAACCAGCCAGCTTTAAGGCATCCGCATTGATCCTTCCAAATGAAGACGGATTCGAGAAAAGTGAAACGAGAAGGAACCGACGTGATATGGAACGAAGCAGGACGTATAAAATACAGAAAGCCGTTATTTCCACTGCAGCGTAATAGCCAAAGCGACAGCCTTTTTCACAGCCGGCCACGAATCGCAATTGACCTTATCAATCCAAACATCGCCTCATTTGCCACATCAGTTCTTACGAGCCCTAACATCATGACGCGCCCAAGTTACACAAACCAATGTCGGGCAACACATGCCAAGAGTGATGTATCGTCTGAAAGGCAACCCTAAGTTCATCACTTGCCGTCTGTCCGATAAACATGGAAAGTCGGAAGATAGAGTTTGTCGACGGAAGGGCAACCAAGCATATCTAGCCACTACGTTAGTGCCCCAACTCCGAAGCTAGGAAGCCCATATATTCGACCAGATCACCACTGTATAGAGTAGGTATGTAATGCGCCCAAAGCGCAATGTTAATTCGAAGCAATCTTGGCTTTGGTCTATAACAGGCGCTCTCTCGTGAACGGGCTCTGTACTATCACGGCTGCTAACAGGCAAGCAGGAATTGGCTGGACATCATTTCTGCTACACAGATTCTCCAATGAAGAACCAATACCACTGCAGTTTCCTGTACCAGCGTTAACGCACTGTGAGAGCCAGGGAATAGCACCATTATATCCTGGAGACATCGTTCAAGTTGTCCCGCAGAACACAACCCTTGACTTAAACATTCCATTCGTGATCATTGCCTGTTCGTACTCCCAATCTCTCAAAGTATTGAAGCACACTGAAGCAAGTCCAAGCCTTCAGAAGTCGCACAACTCATTGAAGAAAACGCTCACTTCGTGCGTTGCGCGGTTGCGGACGGGGCACAAAGACAGACCTTCCCTCCATATCCCCCCTCCCAAGTTTGAGGATCAGCCGTCACGATTCTGGGACGGCATGGGACAAACTGACAAACTCGCTCCTTCCATGTAGCAAAGCAAGTCGATTTCTATACTGTACCACAAAAGAGTGTCACACTTGTTGTCCGTGCCATTCCTTCCATGCCCTCACGTTATCCCCGCTCTACCAAGTCCCATCCTTCCTTCTGCTTCAGTGTCCGCCAATGACAGCACTATCACCACCAAGTGGAACTTGCCCGCCCACCCGTACGTGTCATCCGTGCCGTCCGTCTGCCGACTCCTCAACTCGGTCCCGGCTTTCTCCCGCCCCAAAGCCAAATGGTGTCTTCATTCCCATAGTTCGGTTTTGGGAGTTGCCCATCCGCCCGTGTACGACAGAAAGATCAGAGTACAACGGCGTATGGTAGACGGCTACTTGACAATGATTACTGCCCAGGATATTATGGCACATTCAACTTTCATTGACATTGGCTCTAACAGCTGTCATGAACCCTTGAACTTGAACCATGGATATGGAGCCATAACGACCTACCTCTCTATAGCAGCAGATCTGGACACCCTTCACAAAAAGAGTAGTCTAGGTCAACAATGTTACCAGTTCATGTCTGCGTAACATTGCCTGAATTAAATAGAATCACCGAAGCATGGCAAGCCTGACCTTGCTTCCATTGCCATGTCGTTTCTCATGCAAGTCCCGGATAGAGGGCTTGACAGATGACAGTTCATATAGACTCATATCACGGGCTGGGGAGAGCCTGGTAGATGGGTAGGACGAGAATGTTTATACAAGTGATGATGGTTTCTGGTGGAGATTGTGGGGAGTCTGGTAAGGGTATCGACAAGTTAGGTAGTGCCGGGGATCGAAAGTTCCCACGTTCACAGTAGACATGACTGAACGTCCGGAGCTGTTATCGTCCTTTGGCGGTGGTCGCTATCTAGGACCTGTTTCCGTTCCTTTCGCGGTGGACTGGCTCAACGTTTGTGCTTATCAAAGATCTGAATGCAACTACCAACCCCGACTGCACTGTCCCAGATCATGATGTCAGGTCTGCCATGTCGTATCGAAATAAAAGGTAACTCCAGACTGTGACGGTAATTTCCATTAACAAAATAAAAAGGAAAGAGAATGAGGAAAATGCAACTGTAAAATGCGACCCATCCGATAACCCGGGCAGCTACCCCCACCATCCCAACCACCATGGCCGCCTCCGTTCCTTGATAACACCTAACCAGAATTTCACCGCCGCGTGTTCTGAAGGGAGAGCACATGACAATTTCTACCGACCTCTACTTATCTGTAGTGATAATGGTGATCCAACTTTGACTTGTGCCCTGTCTATAGGTATCCACCAAGCATTGGAAAGTAACAAAGACGAAGAGAAAATCATAAAAGGTACCACCAACTCTTGTGACCCTTGAAGTCCATACCAGACACGTATCGGCCCTTGCGGAAGCGGCTCTAGCCGACCTTACCGACTCCATCGCAACATCGCCAAGTAAGGTAGGAAGCCATTCATATGCCGATTTTCTGTCTCTTGGGTTTTCCATCACTAAACGATAGCTGATCCAAATCTCCCATACAACCCAAACCCACCTAGACATTTCCGAGAAATAAAGTATAACAAAATCAACCCCCATCCCCCACACAGGCCAGACCAAGGCACACCTGAAACAGATACCGACCCGTCACGTCCCTGGACTGCACGTACGTGCTCAAGTAGTATAGTAAAAATCAGGCCTCATATCCCCCAACTTATCAATCTGCTTCTCATCCAATCCTTCCACAAGATGATCCCTCTCGCCCCTCAGCCTCTTTCCGTTCTCGGCCCTCAGCAGCATCGTCATCACGATGGACCCGCCAAAAAGGAAAACGGCCAAGAACCCCATGACAATGGCATGGCCCGTCTTGTGGTTAGCGTAGATGTTGCTGCTGATGATGCCCGACAAGTTACCCCAGCCAATGACAAACCCCAGCACGACACCGCGCTTGTACACGCCCTCGACGTTGTTGGCCATCCAGGTGACCGTGTTGGAGATGCAGGGGTAGATGCCCAGCGCACCCAAAAAGACGCCGACGTACTGCACCGCGGGCGAGTTGGAAGCCAAAAGCATGGCGAAGCCGGCAACGCCAATGACCGAGACCAGGATGTTGCAGAGCCCGCGCTGGCGGGTGCGGTCGGCGATGTAGCCAATGACCACTGTAAAGACGGCCGCCGCGGCGTAGGGCGGTACCGACATGAGCTGCGACCGCACCGTCGACGTGTTCCAGCCGAGACCCTTAATGATGG